CTAACTGGTTTGTACTGGTTTGGGGCAGTTGTTACTGGTTTATCCTGGTTTGTGGGGTTCTTTACTGGTTTATTCCGTTCCTAACTGGTTTGTACTGGTTTGGGGGTGTCAGTACAGATCCTAACTGGTTTGTACTGGTTTGGGGCAGTGGTTACTGGTTTATCCTGGTTATTGGGGCTCTTTACTGATTTAATTCCGTTTCTAACTGGTTTGTACTGGTTTGTACTGGTGGGTGGGAGACTGTACTGGTTTATACTGGTTCGTGGGGCTCTGGACTGGTTTGTTCTGGTTTAACTGGTTTGTACTGGTTTGGGGGTGTCGGTACAGGCCCTAACTGGTTTGTACTGGTTTGGGGCAGTGGTTACTGGTTTATACTGGTTGTTGGGGCTCTTTACTGGTTCAATTCCATTTCTAACTGGTTTGTACTGGTTTGGGGCAGTTGTTACTGGTTTATCCTGGTTTGTGGGGTTCTTTACTGGTTCAATTCCGTTTCTAACTGGTTTGTACTGGTTTGGGGCAGTTGTTACTGGTTTGTACTGGTTGTTGGGGTTCTTTACTGGTTTGTTCCAGTTCTAACTGGTTTGTACTGGTTTGGGGCAGTGGTTACTGGTTTATCCTGGTTTGTGGGGTTCTTTACTGGTTTATTCCGTTCCTAACTGGTTTGTACTGGTTTGGGGCAGTTGTTACTGGTTTATCCTGGTTTGTGGGGTTCTTTACTGGTTTATTCCGTTCCTAACTGGTTTGTACTGGTTTGGGGCAGTTGTTACTGGTTTATCCTGGTTTGTGGGGTTCTTTACTGGTTTATTCCGTTCCTAACTGGTTTGTACTGGTTTGGGGCAGTTGTTACTGGTTTATCCTGGTTTGTGGGGTTCTTTACTGGTTTATTCCGTTCCTAACTGGTTTGTACTGGTTTGGGGCAGTTGTTACTGGTTTATCCTGGTTTGTGGGGTTCTTTACTGGTTTATTCCGTTCCTAACTGGTTTGTACTGGTTTGGGGCAGTTGTTACTGGTTTATCATGGTTTGTGGGGCTCTTTACTGGTTCAATTCCGTTCCTAACTGGTTTGTACTGGTTTGCACTGGCGCAGAGCAACTGGCACGAGGTGGTGGACAGCTTCGACGAGATGAACCTGTCGGAGGCGCTGCTGCGCGGGATCTACGCCTACGGCTTCGAGAAACCCTCGGCCATCCAGCAGAGAGCCATCCTGCCCTGCATCAAAGGTAAAACCAGTATAAACCAGTATGGACCAGTATAGACCAGTATGGACCAGTATAAAGCGGTATGGGGTTATACAGCCCCAGTATGGCCCCAGTATGGGCCCAGTATGGGCCCAGTTCAGCCTACGGCTTCGAGAAACCCTCGGCCATCCAGCAGAGAGCCATCCTGCCCTGCATCAAAGGTAAAACCAGTATAAACCAGTATAAACCAGTATAGACCAGTTAGAACCAGTACAGACCAGTATAGAGCAGTATAGACCCAGTATAGACCAGTGTAGATCCAGTATGGGCCCAGTTCAGCCTACGGCTTCGAGAAACCCTCGGCCATCCAGCAGAGAGCCATCCTGCCCTGCATCAAAGGTAAAACCAGTATAAACCAGTAT